GAGGCTCTGGGCGCTGAGGCTCTGGCTCTGGGCGCCGAGGCTCTGGGCGCTGAGGCTCTGGCTCTGGGCGCTGAGGCTCTGGGCGCTGAGGCTCTGGGCGCTGAGGCTCTGGCTCTGGGCGCCGAGGCTCTCCCGGAGCTGCTGCTCCGCCTGCCGCTGGACGGCCTCCAGGTGCAGCAGCAGGAGCCTCAGGTCCCGGGCCAACGGCGCCCGCCTCTCCTTCTCCCGCTTCATCTCCCGCAGCCCGGTCAGCGCCTCCGAGGAGACGAGCCTAGGGATGGGGATCGTTAATATTTATCGATAGATATCGATACCTTTATCGATACTCCTCATCGATCCGAGTCTTTATCGATACCACTATCGATACTTTTCTGTTATTCGGTGGAAAGACGATGCGACAAGATTTTCCTGATGAAAGAAGAGAGTCTACTCTTTCTTTTGGTGTGTTCGGTGTTTACATAGTCATAGCACAAACTATTCTGTGGCTCTTGAAAAATCAGTCAAAATGCTAAAAAAACTCTGGCAGTATGGGACTCTGTTCTGAAAATGGCTGGCAGTCAATGAGTTAAATTAAATTTAATTTTTAATAAATGTTGGCATCAGTAGTTTAATTATATATTCTAAAACAATTAAGAGCAATTTACAATTACAACACGGATTTCACAATTACTATTGTAATAATAAAAAAAACGACCAGACTCGATAGTGGTATCGATAAGCCCAAACGTTATTGATTTTCGGGTTTGGAAAAAAGTGGAACCGGGTCCTTGATAGAACCGGGTTTCGACCCCCATCCCTATTCACCTGTAGGGATGGGGATCGTTAATATTTATTGATATCGATACCTTTATCGATACTCCTTATGGATCTGAGTCTTAATCGATACCACTATCGATACTTTTCTGTTATTCGGTGGAAAGACAATGCAACAATATTTAGCAAATAAATAATTATATTTTAAATTAAATGTCATTTTTAATAAATGTTGGCATCAGTAGTTTAATTATATATTCTAAAATAATTAGAGCAATATACAACTGTATTACTCGTGTTTCCCGCCACAAAGTCAATTTCCCTTTTCTTTACGTTACACTTGAACGCATCATGATAACCTAATTGTCGTTTTACTGAGCCAATCTGAACACACGTCTGAAACTTTATTTACTTTTCAAGCTAACTAGCTTGTATGCTGCCGATTACAACACGGATTTCACAATTGCTATTGTAATAATAAAAAAAACGACCAGACTCGATAGTG